GTTTTTTAGCTATATTGGGAGTGAGAAAGAGGTTTTATCCGTATGACAACTATGAGTGAGATTCTTGCTTAGGCAATTAACAATAATCTCATTCAGCCATTTTAGGTTGTGTTTTTGGGAAGAAGTGGAACTCCAGACCTTGGCTGATCTGTGGACAAGTGTCTTAGATCAAGAATTCTCAAACTGAGGGTTGCGAGGTTATTACATGGGGGTCACGAGTCAGGGGCTGTGCCAGCCTCTTCCCTGAGGTGGGGAAGAGCTGGACTAGACCAGTGGTGCACCAACTGGGAGGGGTGTCTGAGATTCTCTGGTGAGGGGCGCGAAGAAACTTTATTAATCTCACTTTTCACAGCAGACTTAGGACTCTATTGCACTGCATTGCTGCTGGCGGCAGCGCTGCCTTCAGCGCAGGGAGGCTTTGAAAAGTGAAATTAACAAACCTACAATCGCACTTTTCATAGCAGACTGGCTGGGGCAGACTGCACAGCAGCGCCCTCTCACTGTTAACCAGTAACTATTTTACAAACTAACTTTTCTGTGTAGAACAATAATTCGATAAAAATGTGTTTTAATTTTAAAACGTGGTTTTAATTTATAACCGGGGTCACACTCAGAGGCTTGCTGTGTGAAAGCATTCTCCAATACAATAAGTTTGAGAACCACGCTTTTAGACAAAGTGTCTCACATGATATGAACCATTTTCTTACTGTCCAGGTGGATCTTATTTGAGGATGAACCGAGGTAGATAGCTTTGCATTTTTGAGGACCAGGAGGAACTAGTAGGTACTAATCATTCAAGGCATATTAGTTCTCTATAAACCTGAAAGTGTTCAGCTGTTACCTTTAAACTTTCCTTCCTAAAGACTTGTTTACATGGGGAATTTTACCATCACAAATATACCTGGTTAATTATACCACCATAAGTCCCTGTGTGGACACAACTAGGCTCTCTCTCTGTTTTTGGTTCCTGCCAATCCCTGGCAATCACTTCCCTCCAACACCTAATCATCTTACCTTGAAACTTCCACTAACCATCTCACCCCAGTGAAATATCTCCTTTCCGTCCTTCACCAGCTCCTTCCCCCTCCCAAATCTCACACCTCTCACCATAAATAAGATGCTACTACCCACCCATGAACTTTGAACCTTGTCATTTTTTATATATATGAGTGGGCTCCAAGAAAAGGAAGAACCACGCCAATGTTTTCTATCTTGTGTGGAGTCCCTATTGCGATGGTAGATCACATTTCAGCTGAACTTACATTTGTGGCATCGGGTGTGGAACAGGGTTTGATTTGACAGTGAAGCTTTCTAACACTTGCTGCATTTGTGAGGGCTCTGTTGCTGGTGTGTATAACCTGATTCTGGTAAAGGGCGATCTTCTAATGAAAGCTTTTCCTACACTGGGGACATTTATAGGGCTTCTCCCTGGTGTGGATCTTCACATGCTTAGTTGGGTTTGATTTCTGCCTGAACCTTGCCCGCATTCAGTGCGCTCATGAGGTTTCCCCCCCCATGTGAGTCTTGTGGTGCTGGACAAGCCCCAGTCTCCAATTGAAGCTGTTCCCATAGTCCCAGCATCCATAGGGTCTTTCACCTGTGTGGGTCCTCTGATGCACCAGAAGGTTGAACCTCTGGGTGAACCCTACCCTGCACTGGAGATATCTGTGGGACGTTCCCTC